TTTTTTTTCTAATGGCTTTTTAATCTCCTTCTATTGTTAAACTCAAAATCATTGCCAATATTAATAATAATCTCAACTATCATCATCATTAAAATCTTATCCATGAAATGTATTTGTATATAGCCTTAGCCTTTGTATATAGCCTTACAAAACATATTTCATATATGTGTGTATATATCCTCATTTTTATATATTTTATGAGATATTGTTACTCTTCTTATCTTTCATAAGTATAGATAGAGTCTAAAACTCAGAATTCAATTGATATTGCAAAGGACCACCACCACTCAGTACCATGGTCCAGACTCAAATTGAGTTTCTCCTCTTCTCATCTACATCTCTCTCACTTTTCATTAGGTTACTGCCTGAGCCCTTGACCTCTGTCACTTTCAATCTGTGTTACTTCAGTATTGCATTTATTTTTATTTTATTTTATTTTATTTTTTAGAGACAGAGTCTTACTTTGTCACCCTCAGTAGAGTGAAAACACCCAGCTATTTTTTGTTACATTTTGCCCAGGCCTGGGGATGAACCCACCACTGACATACAAAATATAGATAAATCTGAAAACACAAACTGGTTTAGTGAAAATTTAAAAACCAACACTAATCAAATCACCCAGGGAGGGAGGAAATCATGCTTCAGATGTTGTGTCTTTCCTTCAAACTCCAAATAATTATTGAGTGTATACCATGTATTAGGCAGTTGGAATAAAATGGAAAGACAGAAGGAACCCCATCATCTTGGATCTCATAGGCAATTCTTTCAAATTATTTTGTGTAATGTTCTCTGGAAAAATGTTGACCATTTTCTCATACCACAAAACAAGCTTTGGTTTGCCAGGCCCACACTTGAGGTTTGGAGCTTCTGACCTGCATGCAGGTGGTTTGCTCTGACTCCTGTGCTACCTGGTTTCTTCTCAGACTCTGAGAGTGTGTGCTCTTGGCAAGGGGGACACTGAAGAGTGAGAGGAAGGGTATTCTGTTTCTGGTGACATTGCCTGGCAGCTGCAGGAGCCATAGGTAGCAGGGGCCCTGTGGAGCTCCCAAAGCAGTTTCAGCAGTGTCAGTGAGATTCATTGCCCCTGGGGGCACTACACACCACCGGGGCAGGGTTTCATCACTAAATCTGGAGTGCAGAGTCTCCATCAACACAGCATTGAGGGGCATATGAGGTGTGGGCTCTGGCTAAGGCTAGGTATTAGGGCTAGAAATCAGGGATGGGCTACATCTGAGGTTAGCGTGAGCTAGAACTAGGTGTGAGCTATAACTAGGGCTAGGGATTAAGGTTAGTGATTACAGATGGGCTACATCTGGGGCTAGGGCTATGGTGTGGGATAGGGCTCAAGATAGGCATTTGGGCAAAGGATTAGCTAGCATGTTTATTATGGCTAGTGCTAGGGATTAGGGTTAGGCATTGGGGATAGGCTACAGATTGAGTTAGGCCTAGGGTGTGGGATAAGGCTAGGGTTCTGAATTAGAGTTAGGGATTAGGGATGGTCTACTGCTGAGTTTAGGACTACAGTGTCAGCTAGGGCTGGGGCTAGGCATTACACCTAGGAATTATGGA